ATGTGTATTAACATTCATGTTTGTCGAATTAATAACACGCGTCCTTAGTGTTGCATACATGTTTCCTTCACACTTTCTTTTTTTTTTCAATTTCAGGGAATTTCTAAAAGTAATTTCTAATGTGATAGAGATTTTGTTTAATTGACGAAGCATGTCCCTGTTCTTCGTGTCAATTATAATTAATCGATAATCTATCTCTACGAGTAAGTAAAATTCAGATCACGGAAGGTTAATCGTAGTTGTTTACTCCAATTGGAAACTTGATTATTATTAATTGTTATAAATTATTCATTTGGTGTATCGATGAAGAACAGGACAAGTAACTTTCAAGTTATATATGATGTCATTAGAGGATGAAAATACTTATCATTTGCTATTAGTTTCAGAATTCCTCGAATGTCACAGGATTTTTAATGTGACAGAAATTTTATAGATCTTTTTACTCGTGTATTTTTCAAATGTTACGTCTACGTATTCTCCGTTATATATATTACACGTTTATACCTGACGTTTATAGGACAGGGAACCTCACGTTTCCCTTCCGCACGAAAGTCGTAATATTTTTTTATTTTTAATATCCAGTGTTCATTGCAGATACTCAAATATCAAACTTCCAAGTTGTATTTTATAACACAACTATAAATACACAAACACTTTATACATATTCAGAATTTTTATCTCAAATTTCGTAACAAATATAATATTCGCCTCGAGATTTTTGACCGAGGTGGTATACATTTAAATGCAAAATGTGAACGATTCGTACGATTGATCAAAGAAAAAAAAAAAAAAAAATTGTTACAAGATCGTTTCAATGTGAAACGCAATTTCAAGTTTTTTACAGTTTGTAACATTTCTGGAATTTCAAATGTAAGAGCAGGCTTCCGTTTCATGCGAGGGAATTTTTTTTCGTTCCCTTCAGCTCGCGGTTAGTTGATTTCATTTTCGTCGAGAAATTTTCGGGAGAATTTGCTTTGTCGAGAAAGAAAGGGAAACGCACGAGCGCTGTTTTAAAATTCAAATTCGCTTCCTCCTTTCTTTCGTTTTTCTTTTTATTACGCGCGTATTTCCGCCACGGTTCCGAAATCCTCGGTGGAGCTTCGCTGTTTTTGAAACTTTCCTACGCGGAAAAATGGGTGGCGCAGGGATCAGGGATATTAAAAGAGAAAAATTAACTTTTCACCGCGAGAGATTTCAGATTTTCTTTCTTTTTTTTGGCGTCGGGATTTCGTATTACGGAAAATGTTAATTTGATCTTTTAGAAAATCTAATAGAATTCTAGAATTAAATGTAAAAGGGTTAACTTTTCATTTCCATCTGATTTTATACTTGGCAGAATATTTTTACATTTATCTCGCAATTTCTTTATCACTTTTTTAAGAGGATTCTGTCCTAAAATATTTATTATATATTCCACGATGCAATGTCTTAATAAATAATTTACATTAATAGGCTTCTAATATATATATATAAGCCTATGAAAAGGAATAATTAATTTTAATTAAAGATTCTCCCCTCCAATTATTAAAAATTTTTTCAAATCTCTGTGAAAAATCTCTTCGAGTTAAACATTGAAAATTAAATAGTAATTTTTTTTTTTCTTTCCGTTGCGACGGTCAATAAAAATACACCGTCCGATAAGCAACTGACACGTGACTGGAATCGAGAGATCTGGATCACTCGGTCGATAATGTCGCGAGGCAAGGTTCGAGGTCACGTAGCCGCGAGTGAAAGCCACAAGTCTCTGGAATCTCTGTTAATCAAGGCCTAGTATGTACGTCGATTTCCATCGTGAACGTTTCGCTTGATCATCGTACGTAAATTCGTGTACAACACGAACAAACAATTACGTACAAAATACGAGCTAGTGCAATAAGAAAGAAAGAGACGAACGAAACCAATCTTCGTGCAATGTGTAAAAAGTTCGATCGAGTGTCGGCTGAAAAGTAATTTTCAGCGCAGTTCAAGATTTCGTGTACGTCGGATGGAATTTTCTGCCGAAGGCAGGTTGCAAGAGTGAGTTCGACAAATCGTTCATAATTCCGACAGATTTGTTTGCGTACACGTGTAATCAAATTCTCGGTTTCGCGCAGTGGAATGTGACGCAACGTGCGACGATGAAAACGTGACACGGATTATCGAATTTCACTCGGGAATATTAATTAAACGCGATATTGTTCGCGTTAGTCGTTTTAGGGGAACTACTGTTAATGCGTGCGAACGGGTTAATTAATCAACTTCGTTGGTGGATCAACAGGTATCGATTAAGATTTCTTTCTGTTGATTTAAGATCCGTTTCATTGCGAATAATGGTGATTTTATATCCAGAGACTTTAATTCAATTAATGGAAATATCTATCGTTGTTTCCTCACCACTTTTAATTCAAGTTACGTGTACTATTTACGGTGTTTAGAACAATGAGAAAATTCATTGGTCCTTCTTATTTATTCGTTGGCATTCTTCAATCTTTATCTTATAGATCAGTATCAATTCAAGCCTGCCAGACCTCTCCGTTTGCATTTATCTATATTTGATTTAAATATGAACTTTACAATAGCCACGTGATATTAATCTTCAAGTTCGATTTTCTCACTGACAGAAATTTCAATCTTTCAGATTTAAGGAAATAATCATCGTTGATAGAATTCCTTCTCACACATCTGTGAGTTATTGAGAAATCATTGTCGGCAGAAGAGCCAAAAAGTTTCTCGGAAACTAGGAATACGATCAAACCCCGGTATGAACGAATCCGAATCAGATTCGACATCTTAGTTTCGTCAGTCGAAAATAAAAATATTTCGTTCATATCTCGCAATGTATTCATTTTGTACAGGTCTTTATCTTACTTTATCGCAGTGATTGATTCTATTCATCGTAGTTCAAGTTGTACGTTTCATATACAATTTCATTATATATATATATATATATATATATATATATATATATTATCATAGTTCATTGACTTAGCAATTACATTTCAAGTTTGACGTGCATAGTACATAATATATAAATAATAAATACATAAATGTATACATACAAATATGAAATTATATAAAATTGCATATATATATATATATATATTTTATCATAATTCATTGTCTTATCGATTTCAAGTTTGACGTGCATAGTACATGATACATAAATAATAAATAT